GAGTGACAATGCCTGAGGCTGACCACGTCTCCAGAATTCAGTCACTTTAGGGTAAAAGCCAACAAACCTCGCCAAGCAAATTTATTAGATGTCATCAAGAGAATACAAAATAAATAGGATTTTACTATGTTCAAAACCATTTAGAACAATGAGAACTTTTCATATGATCACCACAAGCTCTCTTACTATGAAAGTTTGAAAAAAACTACCAAAGAATTTCTCTCCCCGCCCCACATCATGAAAAGTTATTCGTACGACAAATACCAAATACTTACTATGAGGTTAGAGGAACTTTAAAAAAAAAAAGTATAGACTCTATGGGATAAATTAATCACTAATCAATGAAACGCCACTACCTATAGTGTTATGTTACAGGGTGGGGCAAAAGTCGGTTTACAATTGTTCAGATGTAAAATAATACAATAATTAATAAAGAATAAACTGTGTTTCAGGTGCTCACAACTATTTTTGCCCCACCCTCTATTCCAATACAAATGCGACATTAGGGGTAACCACTTGATCGCTCAGACTTATGAGACTGCGTTACGTTTACCCAAACTGAGGACACCCCAGGTCCCTGTCTGCTCCTGCCTGGTTCTAAACAGGCCAAGTAATTTGTCCTCACAGGCTCAGGTGCACTGCGGAGCCAGGGCCCCAGCTGAGGAACTCCGAGAGGAGTCTCTAGACCAGCGAGGAAGGTCCGTGGGGGGCAGGGAAGGCACTGCCCGCCTCTCCTGGGAGCTGTGGAAGCCCTGCTCCTGCCTTGTCCCTGCGTCACGAACCTCGGTGGACTGGCTCTGGGGAGCTCTGGTTTTCCATTCCCCTTCAGTGACTCCTCCACCAGTGGCAGGTGCAGGGCCCCGGCGCTGCCCCGACTTCCCTGCTTGTTTTCAGGACTAGGCGAAGCCAGGGCTGGGCGAGCAGACGCCGGGGCGTCTCCAGGGTTACAGAGGGGGCGGGAAGGCGGGCGGGGTGGGGTTAGGCTGCACTGGGGCTCGGGATTGGGGCAGCTCCCAGACTCCTCGGCACGGGGGCGGGGCCTGGTGGGGGCGGGGCCTGCAGAGGGCTGGGGACGGCGGGCAGGGAGGCCCTTAGACCCTGCAGGCTTTTCAAACAAGGCAGCTTTCAAAAGTGAGACCGCTTTCAGAAATTCGTTCTAGGTCCAGACCAACAGCCTGGCATTTGCCGCCCCGAAACATTTCCTTCATGACGCTGCATTCTCAATATTTCACCAACATTTCTCTGCTGTCCACACGATTGATGGAAAAACACTCAGGTTGGCATTCGTGACCTCCATGACCTGATGCCACTTTAGCGACCTAGTTAAGTCAATGCATTCCCCTCATCCTCAGCCTTAGTTGCAAGTTGCAGCCAGAGCCATCTTTTCCCTTCTTTCTCCAGAAAGAAAATCTAATTTTGAGTTGTGGTGAGCTAAAAACCCAAGATCTCTTTATAGAATCTCTGTGTGTGTGTGTGATTTTTTTTACCTGAAACTCAAAATTTTATATTTACACTGATTGTCAGCCTGTTAATCTCAGCCCATCATTCCATCTCATCTCTCACTTGTAAGTGCAAGGAAGCTCACTTCTTTGCTCATTCCCTCATACATACGGAGGACAAGAGAGTGAGGCCTGTTGCTTATTCCCAATTATAGCTGTGCTAGAAAGCAAGGCTTTTATTCATTGCCTCCTGTCACACACTATAGGTGAGGGAGACAGCAATACAAGTCATTCTATCAACCATAAATTAATTCTACTTGCAATATATATATATATCTTCCATTTTTCTTTTCCACTCATCCATCCGTTCATCCATTGAAGGGCACTTTGGCTATATACCTCAAGTGAGAATGCCAGTCATATGGTAGCTCTAGTTTTAATTTTCCATAATGGCTATATAAATTTACATTCTCACCAACAGTGTACAAAGGCTTTCCTTTTCACCAAAGGGTCTTTTATATACCACTGATCACATAGCCAAAACCAGGCTATATAATCAGGTAAAACAGATGCAGATTATCAACTATATATTTTTAATAAACAAGGTAGACAAGGTAGTACTGGTGAATTAAGGGAGCTTCAATCTTTAAATAGCACATTATATATCACTAGCGAGTACATTTATTCCTATCTTGGCCAAAGGGAGTATCATGGCTCCAGGCATCCCTGGAGATAAATAAACAAAAAGCTACCACAGATCAGCTGCCAGCTAACCCTGTACTTTCCTACCAAAATAGTAAATCAAAAGCAATACTGCATTTCTGGGGGAATGTCAGACTTGAAAATTTTAGGAGTGATAACTCCTTGACTATTCTTTTTTAATTATCTGTGTTAGCTGCACAACATAGATGTATATCTTAAAGAATAAAAGGTTGACCAGATGGTATCTCAAATTGTGCTACTGTTTCTAATAGAGCCTTCTTGCTGTTAGGTAGCATCTACTGCCCCCACCCCATATTCTGATTGATAGCAAGAAAAAAGAAGCGATTTGCTGTTACCTAGGAGGGTTAGCAGTGTACTTTTATTTTCCAACTCAGAAATCTGTCAACTATGGCTCTTTGCTGCAATTTAGTTTTCAGGGACCTTAATTATCTTACCATCTCGCAGAATATTATGCTGGATCACTGCCCTGACAAGTAGTTTAATAGACACGGAGAGCAAGAAGGAGCAGGTAATTCCATGCCTTGATAATATAAATACTTGCAAAAGTAACAATATATATCTTATGGAAATAAAGGTGTCTTTCACATCAGTAAGGATTGGGGATAGCTTAGATGAAGAAATATTCTAATGTAAAAGATAATTTGTTGAAATTTGCATATTCAACCAAAATGCTTATATGTATATAAACATATACATATATGTTACCCTGTGGTAACAGCGACAGTTGTTGGTTTCCAGGTGTAGGATCCGCCTGATATCAGCCCTTCCCAAGTCTAGTTCACAGCTTCACAATGATTCTGTAGGCCTCTGATACCATTCCAATAAATTCACTTTTCTAAAGTTAACCAGAGTTGATTTCTATTACTTACAACTACAGAATACTAGTTTACACAATAAGTAAGAAAGTATTAGGTGATAAAAAATAAAATAATAAAATTTGTCTTAAAAAACACAAATTAGTAAGCATTAAAGATAATATCAAGTTGCACACTGAACATTTTAGAACATTATACATTTTCTAAATTAATAGCTGAAACTCTAAAATTCAATTAAGAAATTGCACTAAAGAGCATATATAGTTACATTTATTTTCTATTGCTACATAGAGATTTGATAAATTCACTTAAAAATTTGAAGTCAGCCCTAGCTGATTTTGGTCAGTGGTTAGAGCTTTGGCTTGCGAACTAAGGGGTCCTGGTTCAATTCCAGTCAAGGGCACATGCCCTGGGTTGAGGGTTTGATCCCTAGTGGGAGGCTTGCAGGAGGCAGCCTATCGATGATTCTCTCTTATCATTGATGTTTCTATCTCTCTCTACCCCTCTCTTCCTCTCTGAAATCAATAAAAATATATTTTAAAAAATTTGAGGCCAAAATATTCTATTTATGTCCAATGATGATATGTTTTGAACTCATTGAAACTATAAAATATTTTTGAGGTTTAAATATTTTCTATTTGTAGAATAAATTAGATGGAGAAATCTAGTCAATATTTATTGATCTTACATAAACAGTGTGTATCGCACTAGATATTCTAAGGTAAAACAAAAAGCCAGTTGCTTATTAATGCTTGCAAGTAATTTTTATACTTAATTTAGAGTCAAAAGTCTTTTTATAGATTTTTACCAATATGCATAACATTCTTGTAATTGTCATAAGTGTTTGCAGTTAATAGAAACTACAAAACTAGCTTTTAGGGTTTAGTCAAATAGAATCAGCAATAGATTGCAAAGTATGCATTCTCAAATTGTCCCTTTGGCAAGATTTTGTATCATGAAAGAGGTGTGGAGGAGAAGCAGTAGACTGTGGACATGGTACTCAGGCATGCCAATGTTAGGAAAGAGCACATTTGAAAGTTGAGGGCTTTGGGGGGAAAAATCTTCAAAGTTATCAACTTCTAAAAAGCCTGGAAAGACTTCAGGACCTACCTTGAAAACCTAAGCTACTTTGTTTGCTATCTAATGCATAGTTCCTTGGTTTAAATCTAATTTCAGTTGTTTTTTCCTTTAATGTATATAAGTCACATTGTTTTCAATCCAGAGTATACAAAAAAACAACTTTCAGTATTTGTCATATAAATGTCAGTTGGTATTAAAAATATTTGCCCCCTTTTTTCAGCATAGTCTTACTTTTGGTTCTTATGATGCAATTCTAGCAGACTGCTAAATCTGCTCATAACTAAGAATGCCATTTGAATTTGAAATATGCTTCATTGTTAAATTTACTCATTATCTTGTGCCTCCATTGACTGGATAAACCTACAATAGCAATGTTTTCTACAAGTAGAGCCAAATCTTCACAAAATAATATGCTTCAGTAGTTATTAAATCTCTTAAACCTTAGTGATATCCCAAGAACAAGATGGTCACCTATTTATTTCCCAGTCAGGGCA